TGTGTGTGTGTGTGTGTGTGTGTGTGTGTGTGTGTGTGTGTGTGTGTTCGTTCCACAAATCCTGCCCATTGCCAGCTTGGCATAAGAAGACACGGCACTTGCAATCAAGCCTATTTATTCTGCCAGGCTTTCAGGGGGAAGATGGGAGGGGCAGAAAGGAGGTATCAGTCTGGGGTGGGGAGTAATACTCCAGTGGCATAGTGATTTCTCAGCGGGTGAACTGAGCGGCACAGTAATACATTTCTGTTGGTCTCCTTAGGTTTGCACGCTTTGTATTAAGTTTATTGTACACACGTGTCAGCTGCAGGGTTTATTTAGATTTTTGCGTGTGCCTAAAGCCGCAGACTGCAGTAGCCAGATGGGTTTGGCACCACGGTTAAACTCAGACTCTAGCCAGGGCCATGAGCTCGGAGCCCTACCACCAGCAGCCTCCAGCTCTCGCTGTGTCCACACTGCAATTAAAGGCGTGACTGCTGCACACGGAGACACTCCGGAGCTAGCTTTGATCTCGCTAGCTCGGGAACCATAAAGCACAGGTGGCAGTGCAGGCTGGGTATGTACTCGAGTGGCTAGCCCGTGCTGCCACAGCTTCGCTGTCATTGGCACCTGAGCTAGCGGGATGAAAGCTAGACTGGGTCCGTCTACACTGACTGCAGTGAAGACAGGCTCCTAAGGTCTCATTGGCTAATCTCAGTGCTGTGTGGAGTTGTGCAATCAGAAACCTAGCGGAGTCTGAGCAGCTCCCATAGAGGGGACAGGACAGCACCAACCATCCTGGAGCCCACAAAGGCAGGCCGTGCCACGCTCCCCCAGGCAGAAACCTTAGGGATCAGCAAAGGCCCGGCTAGTGGTGACTAGCCAGGGACACCCCTCCCTCCACCTCCCCTCACTTTATACTGCACTCAGCACGTTATTAAGCTACACTTACACCAGTGACACTGTTTCCATAGTAACTAATGTATTTCAAAGAGGAAGAGTGGAAGGGGTCTGAGTGGGAGGGAGGACAAAAAAGGACCCATATAAAACCAATTGCGCAGTCGCCACAGGTGGTGCTGGCAGACCTCAGACCTGTGCTGACTGGGGCTCTGCCGACTGTAGAGCAGCCCACAGGGTACGTACACACACAGGGTACAGCTTTGCAAAGAGCCTAAGGGTACGGCTACAGCGCAAATTCAGGTGTGACGGTCATGTGGCAGGCACACCCGTGTCCGCTTGAATCTAGCGAGCACAAGTAAGGAGAACAGCATGGACCCGAGTAGATACACAGAGTGGGTTTGCATGGGGGCAGCTAGCCCATGCTGAAGCCTGTGCCACCGTACCTTCACTACCATGGTTATTTGTGCTAGCTAGATTACAGCTGGCACAGGTATGCCAACCCACGCGGCAGTAACAGCTTCCTGTGCAGGGCAGACGCACCCTGAGTGACTTAGGCACTTCTGAAAATTCCACATCTTCCTGATCCCTTGGCAATACCCCTTCCCCTCGTCACACTTCACAAATTAAAAACCAGTGCCTGTCTCTCCTCTGTTCGTACAGCACCTAGCACCACAGGCTCTGAGCCTGACGGGGGCCCCCGAGAACTGCGGTAATAATGAATAATGCTAGTGATGCTGTGATGACGGGGTGCAGATCCTGATGGGAAGCAGGATACGTTCTCTGGCTGATGACCTGCTGGATGAGATACCCAGGGCTGTATCTAATCACCCACGAGTCTCTGGGAGCCATCCGAGCCATTCAGCTATTCTTCCCGAGAGGCTGGGAATAGAGGAAACATCCCGCAGCAGAGCCTTGGCGTCAGTAGCCCAACTCACCCCGGGCACAATCCCACGACTCCAAGGGAGTTACGCTAGCGATGCATTTGGCTCCAGATGTTTGTTCCCTGTGTGCCAATCTGGTAGCCTGATGGTTTGTGCTAAGCACTGGCACGTGTAACACCCCTGCAAAGCAGTCTGTGTCTGCTGTATGGCCGCTAAGCCTCCACTGTTGTTTGCAGGTGAGCAGATGTGGGGAGGGGGAGATCCCTACAAGCAACCCACCCTCTTAGCATGGCTTAGAGCCCAGCCGGGGGCACGCACAGGAGATAGCAAGTGGCAGTGACTACTGAGGCCCAGGGAAGTGTCCTAGGCCAGGCCCCACCTACAGGGCCGAGATGCTACAAGTCAGGAAGTAGTAAAGGAAAAGGAAAGCCGAGAAACAGCTAACGTACCATGGCTGTAAAGCTGGACACTAGTAAAAATAAACTGAGCGGGTTTTACAGAGCCAGGCTCCGTGTGAAGCAGCAATGGAGGAACGAGTGTATTTCAAGACAGCTGTGAAATGTCAACAGCTCTGTGGTCAACGGGAATGACACTCATCCTGGAGGTCAGGCAAAGCGTCCCCAACCCCCTCTTCCATCGTAACAAGAGGAGCATAATTAGCGTAACTTTGGCCAGGCGGTTCGTGTAAGGCTGGTGGTGGCGGGAGAGCCAGAGACAATGAGCCTGTACTGATGCGCGCGAGGGGTCGTGACGAATGATGTTACCTGCCAAAATTGTTACTGTGCTTAAAACTATGTAGAGAGACAAGGTGGGTGAGGGAATATCTTTTACTGGACCAACTTCTGTTGGTGAGAGAGAGACGCTTGGTCCAATAAAAGCTATTACCTCACCCACCTGGTCTCTGTAATATCCTGGGACTGACACACCTACAACCACCATGTAGGGCAGTGACGCTTCAAGAACCTAACTGGGAGTCAGGACTCCTGAGGCCTATTCGCAGCTTTGCCATCTACTGTGAGGCCCTGGGGTGTCCTTTCACCTCTCAGAGGTTCAGCAACATCCCTATGAAAGGGGGAGAATACCTGCCCCACTTCACAGAGGTTTTAGCTTATTGGATATGGAAATGCTTGGAGATCCTTCGGTGAAACGAGCTATTGAGTGCACACGTTGTATTCTCCTCCCGGCCTGACTCAGGAGTCACACCCATACCTGTAACTTTCCATGAGCATATTAAAATAATTTGTTAGAGAGGCCCAAGCTAACCCCCGCCTCCAACAACCCCAAACCTTTCCTAGTGGGGGTTGGGAATACTAAACGTCCAAGGCTGACTCTCTCTGCTCTAGAGCCAATCAAGAACTCAGTTCAGAGAAAGGCAGGGAAGTCAAGGAAGCCGCTGCATACCGAGAACGGCAATGGTATGTAACAGCCTGACGAGCGACGAAGGGGGTGCTGCACGCCAGGTGGGCGAGTGTGCGCCACCAGGGGAGGGCATGTTGCTGTGAGAACCTGCCCTTTTACATTTCCTGACTCCTTCCCTCCATAAAACAGTCGTCCGGTATTTAATTAAACACAAGAGCAGACATCAGGAGCAGGGGGGACAATGTGAATTAGGAGAAGTGATCATGACTAATAGAACTCCACTAACCAAGAGATCCAGTCTGCATAAATCCCCAGGCAGGGGAAGAGGAATGCCTGCTATGCTATGCTGCGTGCTTGACAGAAATCTGACTAGTTCAAATGCTAAATTCACTCATCTGATATCTCTTCCCCCTGAAAGTCCCACTCGGTGTTGGGAGGATCTGTATCATCGCAGCGTCAACTAAGATCAGAGTCCCATCATGCTAGGTGTGGGATACGTACATATTCATCGTAGAGTTTACAATCTACGAAGAATCATAGAATATCAGGGTTGGAAGGGACCTCAGGAGGTCATTTAGTCCAACCCCCTGCTCAAAGCAGGACCAACCCCCAACTAAATCATCCCAGCCAGGGCTTTGTCAAGCCTGACCTTAAAAACCTCTAAGGAAGGAGATCCCACCACCTCCCTAGGTAACCCATTCCAGTGCTTCATAGACAGGACAAGGGCGGGGGAAAGGAAGGGTGGGGAGCTGAGGCTAGAGACATTCAATGACTTGCCCACAGCCACTCAGGGAGTCGGTGACAGAGCTGGGAATTCAACCCAGATCTCCCTCCTCCCAGTCCCTGACTTAACCGCAATGCCACCCTTCCCCTCTGTTATACAGTCACTACCCTTCTGAACCAGGGTCCCTGTAAGGAACACACGTGACTTCCAGCAAGGCAGAGAGAGAAGGGAGGATCAAATCAAAGAAGGGAGTTTGAAAGATTCCATCTGTTACTGAGTTAGGACTCCCTGACCTTTTCTCCACCCCCCTGCAGCTTTGGATGTGGCAGCCCGTGAAGTTCCCATGCAAATCCCCTGACTCCGTGTGCTCAGAACAGTCACCTCCTGGGCTGCCGTTTTCCATGCTCGGGCTCTGCCCAAATGGGGATTTTTGAGGATTCAGCCCAGCAAGGTCCAGCCGTTTCAGAGCTGGAAGGGAAGTCAGACTGAACACAGCGTTCTCCCCAAGTGGTGGGGACGTTAAACTGCAGAGCCGACAGATGCACATTCCCCCAGGTGACTGGTCCAGCTGGGTAGGAATGGAGTCGGGTGCACACACAATAGAACACACCCGGTAGTTTAATGCTGCAATGTTACCCCCGGTGCCTGGCACGAGTGTGCAGCTGTTTGATAGCACAGAACGCCTGGTCCATGGACCTGCTCCAAGCTGGCCACAAGCCAGGCGAATGCCACGGGGAAGCCAGTGCCTGGTGAGAATGATCCTCCTCCCTTTTCCCACATTGCCCCAGCCACTCAGACCCCTTGGTGAGAGCATCAGGGTTTCCTGCTTGATACCCCGTCAGTGCCACGATCCTGGTGCACTCAGGGTGGGGATTCCTACCTTGGGCTGGTGCGAAGAAGACCTGGGTGTTGGGGGCGGTACGCTGCCAGCTGTACTTGGGGCTGGGCTTGCTGAAGGATGACTTGCAGCTCATGGTGACGTTGCCCCCAAGGTAGGGTTTCCCATGGATCTGGCACGTCGGGGGGGATGGAGGAACTGGAGAGAGCAGGAGAAGACGGGTTAGATGTTTGAATGCGGACATCATTATAGGGCCTAGTTCCAGCTGTAACTTGCAAAAAGAAACAGCGCCATCTATTGGCCACAGGCAGCACCGAACAAATCCATACTGGAAATCCAGAGTAGTCATGTAAGCTTGAAACCTGCACCCTCACTTTCCTAGCCCTGGCTCTGCTGCCAATGCTGTAGAGAAAACCCCTCAGCGGCTGTTATTGTGAACAACCCAGGAAAGCACTCCGGCTCCAGATGGATCTGCAATGCCCAGTAAATGGTTCGTTTCCCTAAAGCAACCACACAGCGCAGCATCAGCAGTATCCCGTGTTCCAATGGTAGGTTTACTGCACTGAAACCAACCTCTTATCTGGTCAGGTTAGAGGTGTCTCGCTGTGCCAGGCCGAAGGGCTGTCCACAGACAACAGCAGGGGATGGAGTTGTGCTGAGGTTCTGTCGAAACGTTTATTTCGGAACTTTCAAGACTTCCCACACATTCAATATTGCTACGGTTCAAGATTTATGCCAGGCCCTAGTGCCACAACGCAACAAGCCACTCGGTTAACTAGAATGAGAGACATGCTTCTAAATCCCCTAGGCTGTTCGGAAAGTCTCAGTTACAACATCAGAACACAGGCATTGCCAGACCAGATCAGACCCAAGGATCCTGTCTGACAGTGGCAGAGGATGATGTAAGAACCTCACAGCATGATGATGTGGTGTGATCTGCCCTTACATTAGGTCTCATCCGGATCGCTAGCAGCGACCAGCCCAAGCCCTGAAGCAGGAGGTTTAATACCCTCCCAAAAACCTTCTTGGCATTAACTATGGTAATCCTGGGTATTCTAGGTGTCCATATAAATGGCCACTCCCTCTTTGATTCTTGTTCAATTCTTGGTGTCAATGCCATGCTGTGGCAGCAAGTTCCAACAGCTAATTATGCACTGAGTGAAAAAGTATTTGCTTTTATTGGTTTTGAATGTGCCACCTTTAAATGACAGTTACCGTCCCTTTATTTGTGTAGGAGAACCGAAGCTCCCAATGTACCTTCTCTAAACTGTTCATTATTCAATAGACTTTCCGTGTCCCTCCCTTATTCATCTCCCTTCTAAGATGACCCCAAAATTCCGTTTCTCTTTATAGAGTTTGTCCCATTCTCTGAACCACCTCTAGCTTTGCAATAGCCTGCGCACAAAGCACCCAGCTGCTCTACTGATTGCTATAATGACATTATAATATCTTCCAAATTATTTTCCATCCCTTTCCTTATACCTCCCAACATCTTGTTTGCTTTTTGATTGCAGCTGTGCATTGAGCAGAGGCTCCATTGAGCTATCTGCAGAGATGCTCAGGTCCCTTTCCTGAGTTGATGCAGATAATTGAGAACCCTGTAAGGTGTACGAATAGCTTACATTTCTCCCTCGAATTTAGTACCATTGAATTTCATTGGACTTCATGTGACCCCTTCCCCTAAGCTTGGTTTGGTCTCGGAGATGTCTCGCAATCCTTTATGGTCCTGAACAACCCAAATAACTGTCATCTGCAAATTTTGCTACCTTACTGCCCCCCACACCTTCATTTTCTGGATCATCAGTAATCAATCCGGGACCTAGCGTATCACCTTGAGGCACCCGCTCTTTACCTTCGGTCATGAGGTTTTATGTTAGTGCATTGGGCTATGGGATGTGATCATGACAAGAGACCCTATCCAATTCTCCTTTTTACACTGCACTCATCACCGTGGTAACTGACTGACTGTGCGGTCCGGACCACAACCCTCAGTTTCTGGACAATTCAACTCAAGGCTGTTACAGGAACAGTTTTTATCTTTCATCTCTCTCCCCCCGCAGCAGCCAGCGGATGCCACTGCAGGTGGTGCTGTCATGGAGCAGCACATCCCATTTGAGCCCAGCCTGATGCCTTGCCCCAGCCCCCACAGCCCCAAAAGAGCACATCCGGGGCTAGGAGGGAGCGCGCGAGGACCCAGAACTTACCCAGAACGGTGAGGTTGATGAGTCCAATATTTTTCCCGTTGATGGTATCTTCATCCACAATGTTGACCGTGCACATGTATTCGCCAGAATCCATTTCCTGGGTGTTGTTAATGGCAATGGAAATGTTGAAGAAAGGCATAGGGTACACAAAGCCAGTCCGGTTCTTCAGGTACGTCTCCTGCACTTTCACCGTCCCGTCCATGTACGTCAGTATCTGGAGAGAGAGAGAGAGAGAAGAGAATACAATGCACCTGGGAGTCCTGCAGCCGTCAGGGGGCAAGGGAGTTGCTTTGGTTTCAAGAGGCACATCTCCCGATTGCATCATAACCACTAATAGCCTGGGCCAGTGGGCGTCAGGGGGCAGCTCCACTGCAGTCAATCCTCACTATCAATCCCTCTGTGGATTAGGGCTTGGGAAGCCCGCAATAAATCATGAGAGAAGCAAAGGAGAGGGTAAGGAATGGCAGAGAGACTAAGGGAGCTGGGAAAGAGGAGATGCTGGGACGGGGCTGATGAGGACACCGAATACTTTCCAGGGATCAGCGTAGCTGAGAGAGGGCAGGACAAAGAGTAAAGATGGGGAAGCCGAGGCTACACAGCGTGTAATAGAACATCCCCACACTCCCCAGAGTGCAGCGCTACCAAGGTTCCAGTGAAACAGGACATTAGGGGGACAGAGAGGTGGGCCAGGGAGAAAAGGCCCTGTGCTCAGATGGCTTCTGGAAACGGGAGCGGTGCAGAGATCCAGGGAGGCTGTCCCAGAGAGTGGCAGGAGCTGCAAGGAAGAAGGATGTCGCACCCGTCGTGGGAAGCCCAGTGCTAGGTCAGAGGAGGGAGAGTGAGAAGATGCAGTAGGTCTCCTGGGCTTTAAACCAAGGAGGGGCTGGATCTCGCCGTGAGCGTGATGGAGTCGCACGTCTTTCACACGAGAGGAGGTGGGCACGGCAGGAGCATTTTGCACATGCTGGCCTCTGGAGCGCTGGTACGTGGGGAAGCCAGTGAAAGGAGCTCCTGGGAGAGGAAAGCTAGCAGGAGACGCAGCAGTGGTGGGGCGGAGGCAGATGCACAGAGGTGATGGTAGAGAGTGAAGTAAATTTAAGAGCCACGACAACTACAGCAATGGCACAGACTCCCTGAAGGAGGTGGCAGCGGCCGAGCCACCATCATTGCAGAGCTCCAAGCAGCGTGGCAGAGTGCAGGACAGAGCAGAAGCTATGCCTCTAACAAAGGTCAAGCGAGGCCTGAGCTTAGGTGAGGGCAGAAGGAAAATGGGAGTGGAGAGGAGCTGGGGGATAAAGCAGTTTCTGCTGGACTTCAAAGGGCTCAGATCCGTGGCGGACGGGATCTGGAGAGCCCAGAGCTACCGACACCACTCACGGGACTGAGCCATTTCAACCAAACTGTCCCGCTGGATGAGTGCAAGCTCTCCTCTCTCAGCACATGGGACGGAGTCACGATCCAGGCTCGGCAGTTCATCAGCTCCTGCAGCCTGTTCCCCACCTGACGCGGTAACAGTCTGGCACCTCACAGCGATGGTGCTGGGTTGCCGTGGGGGTGACAGGACTGTCACAGGGACGGGGGAGCAGGCACTGAGACTAGATGGGCTCTTGAATCTACACAAAAGCAGAATAGCTGCCTAGACATTGGCACCATAACGTCACAGCTGTTCCTCCAACAGTCCCAAGGTGAGGACGCTGCTCTGGACCAACGTGTGACTCACCTGTGCAGGTACCGATGGGTCACCACAGATTTAACCAGCCAGAACACTAATATTTGACTATTGTTGTCCACAGGTCAACCTACCCTACAATGTGTGGCAAGTTCTGTTCTTGGGGCTGGTGACTTAGCCATGAAACGCACTGTGGGGTTGGTGCTGAACCAAGATTGCTTTTTTTTTTTTTAAATGAAATCAAACTTTGGAAGGATCCATATATTTCTTGGCTTAGGGGGCCCTTCCTAGCTTCTGAGTTGCTTTACTTTTCTAGCTCCTGGTTCATAAAGAGCCAGTGCTGCTTTATCGTTGTCATAACCGCTGTCCTCACGATTTTTTAGTTAAACATAGCGGTTCTGACACCATCCCTCCCCCTTTTTATGGGAGAAACCCAAGTGAGGATAGGGGTCAAACTGGAAAAAAAGTGGTACAACTCTGCCAAGCTCCACCCACATTATTCAATATCAGCCCCCGCTGAGTCACTGCTGATGACTGAGTCCTCGCAAATAAGCTCCCAAGTTAGTGATGATCTGTGACCCTTCCTCTCCTTTCCTACATAAGGAATGAAATAGTTAACCATGGTGGCCATTAAATCCGCATCGCTGGGCACTGAGTTAACCCTGCACTGGGAACGAGGGGACAATTCACCCCTCTACAAGCAATTGCCCTAGGTAGACATTTCTGCATCAGTCACACTGGCATCACATCAGAGGCAAATAGCAGCCCCCGTCTCTCAGTCACGCTTTCTTTACTTATTACACACAAGACATATGTTAAAAGAACATTACAGTTGCAAAGTTAAGAGCCCAGGAGTTAGGAAATGCCAGAACGAAGGCTGCCCATGCACAACGGAGCAAACCTTCAAATTCTGAACATTCACCAGGAATCCACAGATCACAAAATTCAGGGATGTGCTGGCCGCCCTTCCCGCCGCCCCCATTGGCCTGGAGCGACAAACCGCGGCTAGTGGGAGCTGCAATTGGCCGAACCTGCGGACGCGGCAGGTAAACAAACCAGCCCGGCCCGCCAGGGGCTTTCCCTGAGCAAGCAGCGGACTGGCTTTGAGAACCACTGCTGTACAGCACAGGGAGGAAGCCGCACTTAGCTGCGGTCCCTTCCCTGGGCTCTCCCGGCCCCCTTAGTGCATGCACTAGCCTGGCCCAGCTCCAGCTGTCCCCGCGCAGAACCCTTCCTCCAGGCTCCTCTCACTGCTCACAGGCCTGGTGAGGCTGCAATGGGTCCCTTCCATCCCTCTCTGCCCTCCGGCTCCTCCTGGCGACGTAATACACTATTGTCCGTGTCAGCGATCTGGTTAGCTTATTGTACACCGCTCCCCATGGAGATACCCCAACAGATGTTCCTTTGTGCTCGGAGTCAGAACAAGCAGATGGAAATTAAAGCTAGTCAAGTAACAAAGTGGCTCTGTCGAAACTGGGCAGTGCAACACCAGGAGTCGGCAGCACTAGAAAAATGCCACACACCCCATCCTCACACACACTTTCCTCGGCGTTTGGAAAGCCCTGGTCACAACGACGTGTTGTAATGCCCGGGACAAGACATTTCGTCGCACTGAACAGGCTGCTCCTCCACAATTGTTTATCCCCAGGGTGTAGGGGAGGCCCAGATATCGTAGATGAACCCAGGACATCTTTTGGGGTGGCGGGAGCCCTCTTTTCTAGGGCTGGGCAAAGAAAAGTACAAGAGTTTCATCAGAAACATGCGTGAACCTGGGTCACATTTACCTGGGAGGAGGCAGAGCAGTTCCGTGAGCAAATCTCACCATGCTCGCATGGAAATTTTGAAAAAGTTGCTGAATGGGAGGAGCTGGTATCTCCAGAATCCACATTGTCTAGTCATGGGATTAAGCCCAGGACAGGAAGCTGGAAGACCCCGAGTTTTATCCCCACCTCTGCCGCCGACTAGCCTTCTACAGCACTTGACAAATATTTCCTTGCGTCCCACAGCCCCAGTGACGTACGCGGCCATCTCCATTTTACAGACAGGGTCCCAGACTGAGGGGCGCTGGAATAATTTGTATAGTGGGGGGTGCTGAGAGCCATTGAATCACGCTGTAACCCATGTATATGATGGAAACCACTTCAAGCCAGGGGGTGAGGCAGCTCCCCCTGCCCCCCCTAGTTCCAGCGCCTACGCCCAGACTGAATGACCAGTCTAAGACGAGCAGAGTTGATGTAGCTGTGTCAGTCCCAGGATACGAGAGACGAGGTGGGTGAGGTAACATCTTTCATTGGAACAACTTCTGTTGGGGAGAGAGACGCTTCTGAGCTCCACAGAGCTCTGCTTCAGATCAGAGAGCGTCACAGTTAAATACCAGGTGGAACAGATTTATTTAGTGGTGAGTACCTGTCCCAGCCCTGAAGAAGAGTTCTGTGTGGCTCGAAAGCTCGTCTCTCTCCACAACCAAAGTCAGTCCAGTAAAAGATATACCCTCCCCTACCTTGTCAGTCTAAGTTGACACAGAGGCGGGAGGAGAAGGTAGGCCCTAGGCCACTTTCCAGGCAAATGCCTAGATTCCCCGTGGGCTCGTATGCACCAGGCAGGGCTCCGCGACCTATGCCACAGCAGCCATCAAGGGAGCCCACACTGGACGCACTCATTCACTGTCACACTTGCCCCCCAATGAGGTGCGGGTCACTGACAGAGCAGCTCCCTGCTCCCCCTCCCAACCGAACAGGAGCATGGAGCAGCCAAGGGAGAGGAGCTGGTGGCTGAGGTGCAGCCAGCAGCTGACACTCTCACCCCGTGGTCACCAGTGAAGCCTCTCCTCTCGCTGGGAGACTTCTCGCCAAGCCCCCAGTGAGGCACAACCGGAGCCCTGGGCTCCCCTGCAAGGTGTCCACCTCCCTGCCCCCCATGCCTTTTACCTGCAAACGATTGGCTCCAGGTCTCTCAAGGACCCACGAGACATAGGGACGACTCTGAGAGATGCTCGTGTACCAGATCGGCAACACCACCCTCTGCCCTTGGATCGTAGAGATAGAGGCTTGTCCCACGTTGACTTCCAGCAGCGCTGAAGAGAGACCTGCAGAGAGAGAGAAATTCAGTCCTATGGGTGCATCCTGACTCCCAGGAACCAGCCCTACTACAGACAAAGGGCAGCACCCAAAACTGAGCATCAAACCCCAGAGCCCCTCGGCACCCACTGAGATCCCAGGATCTGGCAGGGCACCGGGCGCAAGAGCAGAGGACACTCCACAGCTGACAACTCTGAACACTCAGAACAACGTGAAACCGATCCTGTAAATGACACCTCGCACGGCAATAGCACGTGTAATCGGAGGCTCTCAAAGCCCAGTACCAACCCTAGGCAGGCATCACTGGGGTGCCATGCTTAAAGGCGGCACTGAGTTTGTGCAGTATGAATCCTTTGTCAGGCTTGAAAACAAGGGCGGCATGTAGGGTCTTGTGCCCCCCCAGATTTGCTGCTTGGCGTGTACCAGGACTGAGCATGCTCAGTAACACTGCTGAAGCCGGCTGCCCTCACTCCCTCCCCCACTATCGGCAGGCACAGGTCGTCTCCTACCCTCCCAGCACTTCCTCTCAGGATAACGATTTCATTGTCTGGAAAGTTACAAGCAAAGCCGTGCAGGAGTCTAGGAGCTGCACCTGAAATTTCAGAGCTGGAGCCCAACGTCATTTTGCGCCTCACTAATTTACAAACAGATTTTGTTTTTAAACACATGAAACTGTAGGCAGGTGACGCCTCTTAACAATAAACCCAAAACATAGTTCATGCACGGACTAGTTTTATAAAAACGATCAGAAACAAGGAAGCCGTGAGCATCGGTCGTTATCTATCTTGTGTACACCCATCACTGTAGTAGTTGAGTGCCTCACAGTCATCAGTGTATTTACCCTCCAATCACCCCTGTGAGGCAGGGCAGTGCTGCTATTCTCATTGTACAGATGGCGAACTGAAGAATGAAGAGGCGAAGGATATGTTTGCATTGATCACATTTATAATGTGCAAACAGAATGAAGTCCAAACCAGTGAGATATAAATACTTGGTGCTTTAAAACAAGCAATTTCACAAAGCTGAAAACAATTATGCACCAAATCCACTGAGGGAAGAATTTAATCAGAGAAACATAAATGATAACTGGGAATTGTTTAAGAATACTTTACTAGAAGTCCAAAAAGCCACAATCGAGGAAGGAGGCCATATTAGTTTAAAAATTGAGCTGGTTGAGAGGGCGAAGTGAAGGCAGCTATAAAAATAAAATATATAATAAACAGAAGCAAGGGGAAGGCAACAGTAATTAATATAAATCAGAAGCTAGGAATTGTAGAAAATTGATAAGGGAAGCAAAGGACACAACGAGAAATCTATGGTCAGCAGAGTTATGGATCATATGAAGGATTTTAAGTATATTAGGAACAAAAAGAATCCTGCCAACAATATTTGTCCATTACTAGATGGAAATGGCAAAATTATCAATAATAATTCAGAGAAGACAGAATTGGGCAATAAATATTTTTGTTCTGTATTTCGGGAAAACACAGATGCTGTAGTCATATCATATGATGATAACACTCTTTCCAGTCCACTGGAATCTCTGGAGGAAGTTAAACAGAAGCAAGCAAAGTTAGACATTTTAAAATCAGCAAGTTCAGATAACTTGCATGCAAGAGTTTTCAAAGAGCTGGCTGAGGAACTGATTGGACTATGAATGTTGATTTTCAATAAGTCTTAGAGCACTGCGGAAGTTCCAGAACACTGAAAGAAGGCTAATGTTGTGCCATTATTTAATAAGGGTAAACAGGATGTCACAGGTAATTATAACCTATCAATTCGACATCGATCCCAGGCAAGATAATGGAGCATCTAACATGGGACTTGATCAATAAAGAATTAAAGGAGAGTAATATAATTAAAGCAAATCAACAGGAGTTTATGAAAAATAGATCCTGTCAGATTAACTTGATATCTTTTTTTTTTTTTTGGATGAGATTACAAATTTGGCTGAAAAAGGCAACAATGCTGAGGTAATATACTTAGATTTCTGCAAGGTCTTTGACTTGGTACTGCACGACATTTTGATTAAAAAGCTAGAATGATATAAAATTTACACGGCACACATTAAATGGGTTAAAAACTTCCTAACTGACAGACCTCAAAATGGAACTGTAAACAAGGAATCATCAAAAAGCAGGTGTATTTCTAGTGGGGTCCGACAGGGGGTGCAAGTTGTTGGCCCTAAGCTGTTTAAAATTTATCAGTGACCCGGAAGAAAACAAAATATTAATTGATAAAGTTGGCAGCTGACATAAAAATTCATAGATTCATAGATTCTAGGACTGGAAGGGACCTCGAGAGGTCATCGAGTCCAGTCCCCTGCCCGCATGGCAGGACCAAATACTGTCTAGACCATCCCTGATAGACATTTATCTAACCTACTCTTAAATATCTCCAGAGATGGAGATTCCACAACCTCCCTAGGCAATTTATTCCAGTGTTTAACCACCCTGACAGTTAGGAACTTTTTCCTAATGTCCAACCTAGACCTCCCTTGCTGCAGTTTAAGCCCATTGCTTCTTGTTCTATCCTCAGAGGCTAAGGTGAACAAGTTTTCTCCCTCCTCCTTATGACACCCTTTTAGATACCTGAAAACTGCTATCATGTCCCCTCTCAGTCTTCTCTTTTCCAAACTAAACAAACCCAATTCTTTCAGCCTTGCTTCATAGGTCATGTTCTCAAGACCTTTAATCATTCTTGTTGCTCTTCTCTGGACCCTTTCCAATTTCTCCACATCTTTCTTGAAATGCGGTGCCCAGAACTGGACACAATACTCCAGCTGAGGCCTAACCAGAGCAGAGTAGAGCGGAAGAATGACTTCTCGTGTCTTGCTCACAACACACCTGTTAATACATCCCAGAATCACGTTTGCTTTTTTTGCAACAGCATCACACTGTTGACTCATATTTAGCTTGTGGTCCACTATAACCCCTAGATCCCTTTCTGCCGTACTCCTTCCTAGACAGTCTCTTCCCATTTTGTATGTGTGAAACTGATTTTTTCTTCCTAAGTGGAGCACTTTGCATTTGTCTTTGTTAAACTTCATCCTGTTTAACTCAGACCATTTCTCCAATTTGTCCAGATCATTTTGAATTATGACCCTGTCCTCCAAAGCAGTTGCAATCCCTCCCAGTTTGGTATCATCCGCAAACTTAATAATCGTACTTTCTATACCAATATCTAAGTCGTTAATGAAGATATTGAACAGAGCCGGTCCCAAAACAGACCCCTGCGGAACCCCACTCGTTATGCCTTTCCAGCAGGATTGGGAACCATTAATAACAACTCTCTGAGTACGGTTATCCAGCCAGTTATGCACCCACCTTATAGTAGCCCCATCTAAATTGTATTTGCCTAGTTTGTCGATAAGAATATCATGCGAGACCGTATCAAATGCCTTACTAAAGTCTAGGTATACCACATCCACAGCTTCTCCCTTATCCACAAGACTCGTTATCCTATCGAAGAAAGCTATCAGATTGGTTTGACATGATTTGTTCTTTATAAATCCATGCTGGCTGTTCCCTATCACCTTACCACCTTCCAAGTGTTTGCAGATGATTTCCTTAATTACTTGCTCCATTATCTTCCCTGGCACAGAAGTTAAACTAACTGGTCTGTAGTTTCCTGGGTTGTTTTTATTTCCCTTTTTATAGATGGGCACTATATTCGCCCTTTTCCAGTCTTCTGGAATCTCTCCCGTCTCCCATGATTTTCCAAAGATAATAGCTAGAGGCTCAGATACCTCCTCTATTAGCTCCTTGAGTATTCTAGGATGCATTTCATCAGGCCCTGGTGACTTGCAGGCATCTAACTTTTCTAAGTGATTTTTAACTTGTTCTTTTGGCAGAGTGGTACATACTGAAGAGGACAGGTCACTGATACAGAGCAATCTGGATCTCTTAGTGAGCCAGGCACAAGCAAACAATATGCGTTTTAATACAGCTAAATGTAAATGTATATGTTTAGGAACAAAGGCTGTGGGCCATACTTCCAGGGTGGGGGACTCTATCTTGGGAAGCAGTGAGTCTGACAATGATTTTGGGGTGTTGGTGAATAATCAGCTGAACATGAGCGCCCAGTGCGAAGCTATGACCAAAGACCTAATGCGATCCTGGGATGCATAAACAGGGGAATCTCGAGTAGGAGCAGAGAGATTATTTTACCTCTGAATTTGGCAGTGCCACAACCGCTGCTGGAATCCTGTGTCCAGTTCTGGTGTCCACAGTTCAAGGAGGATGGTGATAAATTAGAGAGGTTCACAGAAGAGCCACGAGAATGATAAAGGATTAGAAAATCTGCCTAAGGCTAGGTCTACACTAAAGGGGGTGGGGGGTCGATTTAAGATACGCAAATTCAGCTACACGAATAGCGTAGCTGAATTCGGCATATCCTATTCGACTTACCCCGCTGTGAGGATGGTGGCAAATCGACCGCCGCGGCTCCCCCGTCGACGGCGCTTACTCCTCCTGACGAGGTGGGAGTAAACGCGTCGATTCGAGGATCGATTTATCCGTCTCGATGAGACGCGATAAATCGATCCCCAAGAGATCGATTTCTACCCGCCAATCCGGGCGGATAGTGTAGACTAGCCCTTAGAGTGATAAACTAAACAGATTGAGCTCTTTGAGTGTAACAAAGAGAAGGTGAAGGGGTGACTTGATCACAGTCTATAAGTACCTGCATAGGGAACAAATATTTAATGATCGGCTCTTCAGTCTAGCAGGGAAAGGTCCAACACGATCCGATGGCAGGAAGTTGAAGCTAGACAAATTCAGACAGGAAATAAGGCGTGCCTTTTTGACAGTGAGAGTCATTAACCATTGGAACAACTCACCAAGGGTTTTGGTGGATTCTCCGTCACTGAAAATGTTTAAATCCAGACTGGATGTTTTTCTAAAAGCTCTGCTCTAGGAAATATTGTGGAGCTGGTCTCTGGCAGGTGCTATGCAGGGGGTCAGACAAGATGGTCACAATGGTCCCATCTGGCCTTGGCATCTATCCC